AATTCAATTAGTGAACACTTAGATGTCTTGCTGTGTTGGAGAGGAATAATGGTAGGTCAAAAACTGCAAGTTTTAGCATTCTTAATTAAAGATAAAAGCAGGAGAGATGCTTTTTCAGATTATTTCTTTATAATATATATATATTTATTTATTTATATGAATATTTGGTGAGCTGATCCTGTTGTTTGCTGCTTGTTTAAAGCCACTTTTTCTCATTGATTGGGCTCACTATAATATTAGCGTGATTAACAAACAAGTCTTCAGTATGTCTTGCTGAAGTATATTTATTTTAAACGTTGATCACCTATTATGATACTCGTCTGCGCTTATTTCTCTTTAGGTTGAGTCAGAAATATTTTGCCTGCATGGTGGGTTGTCCCCTTCCATTGAAAACCTTGATAACATAAGGAATTTTGATCGTGTTCAAGAGGTTCCACATGAAGGGCCGATGTGTGATCTGTTATGGTCTGACCCAGATGACCGATGTGGTTGGGGTATTTCACCTCGTGGTGCGGGATATACTTTTGGTCAGGTAACTTCAAATATCTCATAGGTTTCTTTTATATTTATTGAAGATATTGCACCATCCGAAGTTCAAATGGTCACCTGAACATATAGTGTATATGACGTTTGGGTTATTGTCTATCTAGTTCTTACTGATCAAATATTCACTTTTTGTTTTTATGTTTCTGGCAGGATATATCTGAACAATTTAATCATACAAACAGTTTAAAGTTGATTGCGAGAGCTCATCAGTTGGTTATGGATGGATTCAACTGGGCTCATGTAATTTTTTTATCTGTGAAACTTGAGCTGTTTCATTGTCTTGTTTGTTTGGTTCACAGCGGTAAGGTTTATCAATGATCTAACATTGTGTTGTCTGGACAGGAACAAAAGGTGGTTACTATATTTAGTGCACCTAATTATTGCTATCGCTGTGGGAACATGGCTTCTGTTTTAGAAGTCGATGACTGCAGGGGCCATACCTTCATCCAGGTTCTCTCTCTCTCTCTCTCTCTCTCTCTCTCTCTCTCTCTCTCTCTCTCTCTCTCTCTCATATACAGAAAACACACACATTGAAGTAGTAAAACATGGCTAAATTTTGTGCATGCATGAAATGTGAACTTTTTTTTTGGCAGTTTGAGCCAGCTCCTAGAAGAGGAGAGCCAGATGTTACCCGTAGAACACCTGATTACTTTCTGTGAAGCTGGTGCATTAGTGCCATTTATTTTGTGGCTCTTCCTTTAGTTTCTGGTCATTTGGCATTTCAGATTAAATTGTACTTTATGTTGTGGTTGTTTACACTCTCATGCATGTAGAACAATCTATTTGCTTTTAGATCCTCTGGAAATTCAATGATGGTGCATCTTCTGCTGATTTAATTACAGGTATGGCAATGCCAATGTTTGGAAGATCTTCACTGACCTTTTTGACTACTTTCCACTGACAGCATTGGTTAGTAAAAAATTTCCATTTTGTCCATGTAATATTATTGTGGATACAAATGGAATGAAAAGTGATGATTTTATAAATATAATACATTTTCTACGAGCTGATTTTGTGGTTTTCTGCAGTTTACTTACACCTTCCTCATTTATTAGGGTCACTTTAATATAATTCAATTAGTGAACACTTAGATGTCTTGCTGTGTTGGAGAGGAATAATGGTAGGTCAAAAACTGCAAGTTTTAGCATTCTTAATTAAAGATAAAAGCAGGAGAGATGCTTTTTCAGATTATTTCTTTATAATATATATATATTTATTTATTTATATGAATATTTGGTGAGCTGATCCTGTTGTTTGCTGCTTGTTTAAAGCCACTTTTTCTCATTGATTGGGCTCACTATAATATTAGCGTGATTAACAAACAAGTCTTCAGTATGTCTTGCTGAAGTATATTTATTTTAAACGTTGATCACCTATTATGATACTCGTCTGCGCTTATTTCTCTTTAGGTTGAGTCAGAAATATTTTGCCTGCATGGTGGGTTGTCCCCTTCCATTGAAAACCTTGATAACATAAGGAATTTTGATCGTGTTCAAGAGGTTCCACATGAAGGGCCGATGTGTGATCTGTTATGGTCTGACCCAGATGACCGATGTGGTTGGGGTATTTCACCTCGTGGTGCGGGATATACTTTTGGTCAGGTAACTTCAAATATCTCATAGGTTTCTTTTATATTTATTGAAGATATTGCACCATCCGAAGTTCAAATGGTCACCTGAACATATAGTGTATATGACGTTTGGGTTATTGTCTATCTAGTTCTTACTGATCAAATATTCACTTTTTGTTTTTATGTTTCTGGCAGGATATATCTGAACAATTTAATCATACAAACAGTTTAAAGTTGATTGCGAGAGCTCATCAGTTGGTTATGGATGGATTCAACTGGGCTCATGTAATTTTTTTATCTGTGAAACTTGAGCTGTTTCATTGTCTTGTTTGTTTGGTTCACAGCGGTAAGGTTTATCAATGATCTAACATTGTGTTGTCTGGACAGGAACAAAAGGTGGTTACTATATTTAGTGCACCTAATTATTGCTATCGCTGTGGGAACATGGCTTCTGTTTTAGAAGTCGATGACTGCAGGGGCCATACCTTCATCCAGGTTCTCTCTCTCTCTCTCTCTCTCTCTCTCTCTCTCTCTCTCTCTCTCTCTCTCTCTCTCTCTCATATACAGAAAACACACACATTGAAGTAGTAAAACATGGCTAAATTTTGTGCATGCATGAAATGTGAACTTTTTTTTTGGCAGTTTGAGCCAGCTCCTAGAAGAGGAGAGCCAGATGTTACCCGTAGAACACCTGATTACTTTCTGTGAAGCTGGTGCATTAGTG